TCCTAAAATGTTTTATACAGAGAGCTAAAAATCAATGTATATAGAATGTATTCACCATTGAGGAGATACTAAATAAAAAAACTTGACCATCTTCACACTGAATACTAGGCAAGAAAGATTAGTACCATGGAAAAAAATGCTAGTTTTGTATTCGGATCTGGGCTCAAACCTTAGCTCTGCTATTATAGCTCTGTAACATATTCTTTAAGCTTGTTTTGTCACGTTACATGGTGATAAAGAAAAATACTTGTTACAGGGTTGTTACAGGGTTGTAGTAAGGATAAAACAAAGTGAAAACCTCTAGCACAGTTCCTGACTCTGCACTTTTTCTCAATGTTTAATTACACTGAAAACATTTTAAACATTGTAATTTTCAGATAATTAATTACATGTATGTTGAGCAAAAGTGAATACTTTTCTTATAAAATTAACTTCCCAGCTGGGCCGGTGCTGTAGCTCATATCTATAATCCCAGCACTTTGGGAGGCTGAGGTGGGTGGATCACTTGAGGTCAGGAGTTCGAGACCAGCCTGACCAACATGGTGAAACCCTGTCTCTCCTAAAAATAACAAAAATTAGCTGAATGTGGTAGTGGGTGCCTGTAATCCCAGCTACTCTGTAGGCTGAGGCAGGAGAATCACTTGAATCTGGGAGGCAGAGGTTCCAGGGAGCCGAGATAGCACCATTACAGTCCAGCCTGGGCAACAAGAGGGAAATCCTATCTCAAATAAATAAATAACTCCTCCATTATTCAGGTGTTGTAAATTATGTAAGGTATCTTTGATGGCGTATCTTTGAAGGAATTATGTCTTTTTAGAGGAAAGTGACATGTAATTTTAAGAAGTATAGGTCCAAGGTTAATAAACTCACACTGACGGCCGGGCGCGGTGGCTCAAGCCTGTAATCCCAGCACTTTGGGAGGCCGAGATGGGCGGATCACGAGGTCAGGAGATCGAGACCATCCTGGCTGACACGGTGAAACCCCGTCTCTACTAAAAAATATGAAAAAACTAGCCGGGCGAGGTGGCGGGCGCCTGTAGTCCCAGCTACTCGGGAGGCTGAGGCAGGAGAATGGCGTGAACCCGGGAGGCGGAGCTTGCAGTGAGCTGAGATCCGGCCACTGCACTCCAGTCTGGGTGGCAGAGCGAGACTCCGTCTCAAAAAAAAATAAATAAATAAATAAAAAAATAAAATAAAATAAACTCACACTTCACACACACACAAACTACAGAAGAGAATGAGCCAGTCTCATCTACAACCATATTAAACTTGTGTCTTCGTGTGCACATTTGATAACAAATTTTGAATTACCTTGAATTTTCAAGTTTCTAGTTTTTCTCTTTAGCTGAGGACTTCTTGAAACTAACTGTTTTTTTTTTTTTTTTTTTTTTTTTTGAGACAGAGTCTCGCTCTGTCGCCGGGGCTGGAGTGCAGTGGCCGGATCTCAGCTCACTGCAAGCTCCGCCTCCCGGGTTCATGCCATTCTCCTGCCTCAGCCTCCAGAGTAGCTGGGACTACAGGCGCCCGCCACCTCGCCCGGCTAGTTTTTTTTTGTAGTTTTAGTAGAGACGGGGTTTCACCGTGTTAGCCAGGATGGTCTCGATCTTCTGACCTCGTGATCCGCCCGTCTCGGCCTCCCAAAGTGCTGGGATTACAGGCTTGAGCCACCGCGCCCGGCGAAACTAACTGTTTTAGGGAAGAGAATATTAATTTTTAGAATCCAGGCATGGCCCAAACAATTCTCTCTGAATAGAAAGCAAACTGGAATCCTGGCAAAGCAGTTAATTCTCAACATTACTTGTAAACATGACAAACAATAAAATAAATTTTATAACAACTTGTAAGAGCTTATGTTTTCACATCTAAATTTTCAATGGTAAGGTTCCTTACAATCTCAAGTGTTAAAAGACAAGGTATCAAGCACACTTAAGGAGAAGCAAAAAGATTGATTTGAGCAACCTGGATCACTTTCAGTAAGGGAGGAGGATCTCTGGAGAATGTAACAAAGCTGAATTTCAAGAAATCTGGTTTCTAGTTTGGGCAAGTCAGTAAATCTTTCTTTCTCATCCCTTAGAAGTAACGACATTTTCCTTCCTTCCTCACAAAGCTGACTCATGAAAGTACTTTAAAGTTAAAAATGTTATACACTATGTTCTTTAATCAGCACTAATAACATTAATATTGATCGGGCAGAAGGTACGGTGATCATGCGGGTGGGGAGCAGCAGAACTGGGAGTTGGGAAATCTAGGTTCTCGGCCCAACATTTGCACCTACTAGTTCGTGATGCAAGGCACCTCACTTATTCAGGTCCCCATTAAACTAGGTTTAATAAAGTGAGTTTGCCTAAACCTCTTCCTAGCTCCAAGACTAATTTTAAGGTATTAATTTGAATCCAAGGTCTAAAATATTTGAGCTCTCATTTAGAAGTCAGCCACTGCAAAGGGTAAAGACAGCAATCTTGTATGAACAAAGTTAAACATAACGTGCTAGACAGAGGTCTATGCTAAGCCATGCAGTAGCCAAAAGGTCCACCATACCACCCTTCATTTGGAAACTGATGTTAAGGTGCCACTGGTACACTTCCGAATGCTCTTAAAATGTTTAGGTTCATATTAAAATAAAAATGGATATTAATTGTAAAATGAGAACCAGAAAAGCTCCAAAATTATACACAGGCCTAAGGGCAAAAATACCCCAAAAGACTACACAGTGACAATATTTTCCAACTTTTGCTTTTTTGTTTTTAAAACAAAGCTGATGATTCTGAAATCAGGTCAAGTCTATCACTTTTTTTTGTTGATGTTAAATGCACTAACACAGATTCTTCAATTATACTTTGAAACAACAGCATTTCCCTAAGTCAGGACTTTTTTATTGCAAAATTTAACAAACCACCAAACTCAAGTTTAATTATTTCTGCTTTATTATTGGTCATGAATAAAGACTTCTTTTAAAAAATAATTACAAAGAGAATTTATGACTAAAATATACTTGGTAACCAACGTGCTCTGAAATTAATAATTTGAAAATGGCAAAAAAAAAAAAAAAAAAAAGTAACAGCCCACACATATTAACTTCACTCTTCAATTAGGGGCAATAAACAAGGTCAAAATTAGTTTAAACAACATACTGAGTAAGAAAAAAGTTGTGAAGTCCCAATGCCTCCAAAAAACTGATAGAATGTGCTTAATATATATATCCCCACATGGTAACATAAAAAATCCAAGTTTTCCAGTAAAAATGTTCTGTTCATGTTCCAATACCTAAATCTGGGAAAACAAATTCAGGCAGATGAGATAAGAATGTCACCACAATAAAATAAAGTCATCAAAACTTAGTGGATTAAAGTTTAAAAGGTAGAGAAAAATAACCTAATTTGACCACACAGTAATTACTTCCAGAAGACAAAAGATCCAATCCAGGTAAAATAAATCTTTATTGTATTGTATATTTTACCTGATCCTAAAGAAAATATTCTACGTGAGTTGATGAGATACATCGATCAAGTTTTATGCCAAAAAATTATGCATACTATAACTCTGAAAGAGCTATCTAGACTCCTTACCAAAAGGCCAGCATAACTTTCAGAGTAGAGACCGTGAGTTACCACAGATGCTGACTGAAACAGAGCTAACAGCAGCTCTTTCTCCTCATTCCCACCCCGTGTGTAGGAGTATGCAGTCCCATGCCACCACCAGTTGGAGGATGATCTAGTCTGGAGACAGAACGGTGTAGAACAAAACCCTTTCCACGGTCCCAAACCTCTCTTTAGAACTCTAATTAAAGATACTTCCGTTTCTCACACAACTTGGAATGAAGAGGAAGCAACAACTGTTAAAAACATTAAAAAACTAAGCCTTTATCTATTTATTTAGAAAACACACTATGCAAAGAAGCCAATTCCTTACATTAAAAATATTTATTTGCAACAGCTCTCCTTTTCAAGGCCTCAACAGATTGGACTAAACCACACCCCTCCATAAATGGCACATTCCATACAATAGCCTGGAGGATGGCATAGGACGATTCCACCGACCGCTGGGGGAATAGCAAACTTGTTGAAATTCCGAGAATGGAGTCTGATGGTTACCCGAACCTAGCCCTTTTATTACTAAAGTCACTCGGGGACAAGAGGGTTACAAAAATATCCCGAGACGCGTACGCGGGTGAGAGTGGAACGAGAACCACACGGGATTTGGGCTGTGCTGTTAACCCGCACCTCCCTGAGTACGGACATTTCCCCGAGGAAGGACATTTCTAGTCGGAGAGAGCGAGCGAACTTTAGGGTTAACTCTCTCAAAACTCCGAGGTGGGGAGAGAGGCAGCAGCCCATTATTTTCTAGGATCCAGTCCCGAACTCTCACTTCTGCCCGTGGGGAAAAAAACGGGTCCCGCCCACGCTCGGCCCGATCCGGGAGGCGGGGCCTGCAGCGACCCCGAAGGACAGACGCGGGGCCGGTTGGGTGTGCTGCCCCTCCCCCTTTGCCTGGAACACCCCCGTCCGCTAGAGAAAAAGGGCTCAGGGCCCCCACCCCCGCGCCAGTCGCGGGGGGGAAGGGGCAATACGGGTGCCTCCGCCCCTCCTCGCTGAAGGTGGGGAGTGGAGCTCGAGTCCGCCCGCCTCCCAGCACTGGCTCCAAGGGGACGGCCCCGAGGAGGTGGGGCCTCTTGGGGGCGCTGACTTCACACCCCTCCCCCTGCGGCCGCTGGCGGTTCAGGGACACCCCGCCCGCTCCAGTGCGGTGGGTGGGGGAGGCAGCTGAGCAGACCAGAGCCCTGCAGCGGCGCGGGGCGGGGAGGGGCGCGCGCACGGGCGCGCAGCCGCCACCCCCGCGCGCCAGCAGGGCCCCCCACGCGCAAGGGTGCGCGCGGGCCCCGAAAGGGAGGAGGCCGCGCGTGGCACCCGGGATGACCGACTCTAGCCTTCTGTCCCCCACTCTTTTCACCACTCACCCCCAGCCCCCTCCAACCCGCTCCAGGCCTCAGACTCCGCACTGACCTGACAGGCCGCGACATGTTCGCTGTCGAAACAGGACCGAGTCGAGAAGCCAAAGACCAGGACCCCCCCCCCCCCCCCCCCCCCGGCGCCCCCCCCCCCCCGAACTTCAGCCGATGGGACCGCTGCTGCCGAACCCCGAGCTGCTAGCTCCTCAAACTCCGCTGCTTTTTGGTTCAGGGCTCCTGGAACAGACGAGCCCCCCGCTCCCCCGTCTCTTCAAAATGGATGAATCAAACCAGCCGAAAATGCGCCAAAGCCGCCGTGCAACCAAACCCACTAGGGTTTGTGCGCTCCTCCCCAACACGCCTGCTCATTGGAGACTTCTGCCAGATGCGCCCAGATCATTAGTCCGTTTGAATCATCACGTCTTCCAGGCCCCGCCCTACTCTCTGACAGGCTCCACCTTCACCGTGGGGTCCTGTTAGTCAAGATGCTCTGAGAGCGCAGGGCCGCAAAACAAAAATGGTCGCTGCTTAGCCCGCCCCCTGGCTTCCACTCCAGAGTTGCAGATTCGTCTGGGGTCGTATCTTAGAAAGACTAGAAAAAAAGATTTGTATAGAGTTCAGCGTTGCTCAGTGTTAGTTTGATGGTGTTTCATCTCGTCCGCCTTGATAACCTAGAAAATCCTCTAATAGCAAAACCTGTGGGGTAGGTAGCAGATTCGTCACTAAGGGGCTGCTACAGAATTGGAGGGAAATTCCTTAGGTTCAAAAAATTTGACCTTAAACCTGCAAGCCCCTTACCCTGGCTTCAGCATTAGCCCTCAGGGACCTAATCAGGCTGCTGGAGTAAAGAGGCAGGATCATAAAAAATGAATATCTTCACCCCCAATTTCCATTCTCCATTCTGGACCTTGAGATCCACTTCAGGGTCATTAAAGTCCCAGTCTGGTACATTACTATTTTAAGAGTCAGGTGTACAATAACTAAAAGCATGAGCTCAGGGGCTACAAGGTATTTCAGTTGGAATCCCAGGTCCATTACTTAATAGTGGTATAACTTTCCTTCTCTGTGCCTCAGTTTCCTCATCTGTAAAATGGGAAACAAGGGTACCTAACCGCATAGGCTTATTAGTATTAAATGCGTTGACATATCTATCAAAAGCCTTTAGGATAGTCTCTGGCTCACAGTAAGTGCTATGTAACTGTTAAATTCAAGTTTTAAAAGATGATTCCATCCCTGGGTAGAGATGGGTGGAGCTGGCTCAAGACCCTTTCAGTTCTATTGATTTACCCTTGTACTTTGAAAAGCAAAACAAAACAAAGACTCTTTGAAGTCATATAACTGAAAGTAATGCACATCATTTCACTTAAATCCGTAAGCATTTGTTGGATGCCTAACACTCTCAAAGGCAGAGCTCAGGATTCCTATATGAATGGCTAAGACTGAGTCTGCCATCGAAAATAGACGTCAATCCCTGCCACAGTCAAACCTACCATTTTTGTTTTGTGACCATGAGCTCTTAGAGCATCTTGACTAACAGGATCCCACGGTTAAGGTGGAGCCTATCAGAGAGCAGGGCGGGGCCTGGAAGACGTGATGATTCAAACGGACTAATGATCTGGGCGCATCTGGCAGAAGTCTCCAATGAGCAGTCAGTTAATAACCAACTGAAGATACACTTACCAAACAGCAAAAAAAACACACCACATCTGCCTCCTGAAAGTCTCCCTTTGTAAAATCTGGCTTCTCAAAAAGAAGAGAATAGCACAGTCCACCAGTGAAGTATTAAACAAGTTAATATCTTTTGTCTCTTCCATGTCATTCCACCCTCTGTCACCCATATTTTTAATTTTTATTTTTTTGAGATGGAGTGTCACTCACTGTGCTGCCCAGGCTGGAGTGCAGTGGCACAATCTCTGCGCACTGAAACTTCCACCTCCCGGGTTCAAGCGATTCTCCTGCCGCAGCCTCCCAAGTAGCTGCAATTACAGGTGTGTGCCACGATGTCCGGCTAATTTTTGTATTTTTTTGTGAAGACGGGATTTCACCATGTTGGCCAGGCTGGTCTCGAACTCTTGCCCTCAAGTGATCTGCCTGCCTCGGCCTCCCAAAGTGCTGGGATTTACAGGCGTGAGCCACCGCACCTGTCCCCCACATTTTTTTAAAAATTGTGGTTAAAAAAAAAAACCATAATACATAACATAAATATGCCATTTTAACTGTCTCTAAGTGTAGTTAAGTGGCATTCAGTACATTCACATTGTTATGCAACCATCACCACGATTCAACACCAGAACTTTCTCATTTTTCCCAGACTGAAATTCTGTACTCATTAAACACTAAATCCCCACTTTCCCCCTTCCCCACAACCCCTGGCAGCCACCATTTTACTTTCTGTGTGTATGAACCTGACTGCTCTAGGAATCTCATGTTTGTGTAATCATACAGTATTGGTCCTATTGTGATTGGCGTATTTCACTTAGCATAATGGCATCCAGGTTTATCCATGTTGTAGCAAGCGTCAAAATTTCCTTTCTCTTAAAGATCAAATAATATTCCATTGTATGTATATACCACATTTTGGTTATCCATTCATCCATCAGTGGACACTTGGGTTGCTTCCACCTTGTGGCTATTGTGAATGATGCTGCTGGGCAAGTGGGGTACAAGTATGTTTGAGTACCTGCTTTCCTTTCTGGATATATACCTAGAAAGGGAATTGCTAGATCATATGGTGATTCTGTTTAATTTTAAAGAACTGCCATATGGATTCCCTATCATTTTACACACCTACCAGCAATGCACAAGTGTTCCAATTTCCCCATGTCCTTGTCAACATTATTATAGCCATCCTAATGAGTGTCCATGTATGGTGTTTTTTTTTTTTTTTTTTTTTTTTTAGACAGAGTCTAGCTCTCTCACCCAGTCTGAGTGGCACGATCTTGGCTCACTGCAGCCTCCATCCCTGGGTTCAAGCAATTCTCCTGCCTTAGCCTCCAGAGTAGTTGGGATTACAGGCATGCACCACCACACCTGGCTTTTTGTATTTTTAGTAGAGCTGGAGTTTCACTATGTTTGCCAGGCTGGTCTCGAACTCCTGACCTCAAGTGATCCACCCACCTCAGCCTCCCAAAGTGCTGGGATTACAGGCGTGAGCCACCGTGCCCGGCTCCATATATGTTTTGACTAAGTGTATTATCATCCCTACTATTGTCAGAATGCCAGGGCAGAAACTTGGGTGACAGAGTGATCACCAAGTGGCTTTGTTGGAGGCTCTTTTATTAGGCCAAATTGTTATTATTTTAGTAAACATTATTATTTGGTATTGTGAGATGGGGCAGAAGAATTCTTGTTACTCATTTATTAGGTAGTGGACAGAAATGACCATAGTTAACATTTGCAGGCAGGTGGAACGTTTGGAATAGGTCTTCAGGGTGTTGGCCTGACAGTGCAGTGCAAGGCCAACATACAAATGGCCACTGAATGAAGACTCTCCCCCTTCCAAAGTCAGGCTCATATCCTACCTTTCTCTTCACTGCAGCTTTAGCTAACATCTTCCTTCCATTTGCTCATTTATTCACTTAGTATTTCAATCAACATCGTCTCTCAGGGAGGAAATAAGACTTGAATTTTGAGTACTTTTTAGTGGACAAGTACAGAACTATGGCCAGTAGTGCCAAAATAATGTGGAATGCAGTCTCCAAGGTCATTTCCCTCTAACCTGTACCCTAGTGATCTGCCCTGTGTACCTGTCTTAACCATCACCACTTTGCTGGAAACTGAAGGACGCTGATCATAGGATAGGTCAGGTTTTAGAAGCACTATCTGATAACCCTGAGGGGACAATACGTGTAAAAAAACTAGGAGAAACTATGAAAACAGAAAAGCCTCAGGAGACAGAAAAGGCAGAGTTACTCCTTTTCCCTGGAAATGAAATCTCATGGCCTTTTAAACACAGTGCTTAATTTCCCCCTATGATTTTAGTTGTTTTGAGAAGTACCATTTTCCTTCTCCTTCACATATGTTAGACGGTAAGAACTGGCAGTGCTGGGATGGTAAGACTGATGAGTTTTCCATATACCCAACAAAACCCCATTTCCATCAAGGGCTACACTATAGCAGCTGAGAGCTTCATAAAAATTTTTCAGCATTGTGTGCTGGGCACTTCCAGTTCTGTGAACTCATGAAAGTCAACCAACCAGGTCTAAAGACAGACACTGCTTCCACTGAGCACAGGACCACAGAAGGGTACCACTCTTTGGAGATGCTGCTGGGAAGTTAAAGAAAGCTTCTCCAAGTCTTATTTTTTTTTTAATTTTTTATTTTTAAATCTTCTACCTCCAACCTGCTGGCTCTCTCTTTACTACCACTCTAGAAGACAGGATGGGATAGAAGGACTGTGTGTATTAGGTCAGTTTCTCTACAACCCCAGAGGCTGAGTAGCCTGCTTGGAGATAGATCCGTGATTAAAGGGGAAATTTTCCCTTGTCTTCCTTTTCTCAAGTGTGTATTTCTTTGCTCCAGATTCCCATCTTCCTCTCTACTTTGAATATTAAGAGCTAAGCTTAGGTGAATTTGTACTATTAAAACAATAAGGATACACAACTAGATGTCCAGTTTAAATTGAAGAAAAATACCACAAGAATAACTTACTGTTTGACTGGACACAAATAAAATCCATAGAAAACTTGCCATTGTAACACTGAGGGAGAGACATCTTTATCTATGTAAACTACTGACAAATATTCTGAGGTGAACACTGCTGAAAAGGAAGGCCTCAAGGTAGAACAAAAACAGCACTGAACTTGTAATCACGATTATCTGTCTCCGAGCTCTATAATTTACTACCTATGACCTTTAGCAAATTTCAAACTCCCTGTGCCTCAGCTCCTTCATCTGTGAAACGGGGATAATTATACTGGTCCTTACCTACTTCACAAGGTTAGCATGATAACAAGAAAAAAAAATGGAATCACTTGCGAAAGTAGTTTGTAGACTGCGAAGCACTGTGAGAGGTAGAATGGGATCACCTTCTCTTCATCAAAGGAAAACCCCACATTCCAACAGCTGACTTATTCCTCCAACAGCATACAACCATTCCTGAATACTGGTAACAGTTAAAAACTGCTTAGCAGGGTGCGGTGGTTCATGCCTGTAATCCTAGCACTTTGGGAGACCAAGGTGGGCGGATCACGAGGTCAGCAGTTCGAGACCAGCCTGGCTAACATGGTGAAATCCCGTCTCTACTAAAAATATAAAAATTAGCTGGGTGTGGTGGTGCACACCTGTAATCCCAGCTACTGGGGAGGCTGAGGCAGGAGAATGACTTGAACCCAGGAGGTGGAGGTTGCAGTGAGCCGAGATGGTGCTACTG